TAAGTAACCAATCGAGTTCTCTTTTGCCTTTTCTTTCGCTGAAATGGTTTAAAATCACTTGCGTGTGTAAACATGTACAAGTGATAAACTTGAACTCTATTATGATTAATCTGCAGACCACATGCGTGCTGAACCGTGGGGCTTGGTCAGCTATGATCCCTTCAACCTCTACTTATAAATATGGGGGTGAAATGTATTATATTTATTATGATATATATTATTATATGTCTGTTCAAATGTACGGAGATACGAAATAGGATTCAGTTTATTGTTTACGCGCCGTCTGAAATGCACCTCTCTGCGTGTGTGCACTTCATGTGTGCGGCTGTGCGCATAGAAAACAATGCGTAAGTAACCAATCGAGTTCTCTTTAGCCTTTTCTTTCGCTGAAATGGTTTAAAATCACTTGCGTGTGTAAACATGTACAAGTGATAAACTTGAACTCTATTATGATTAATCTGCAGACCACATGCGTGCTGAACCGTGGGGCTTGGTCAACTATGATCCCTTCAACCTCTACTTATAAATATGGGGGTGAAATGTATTATATTTATTATGATATATATTATTATATTATATTATATTATTTAGGGCTCTCAGTCGATTAAAAATTTTAACCTAATTAATTACATGATGTGTCGATTAATTAATCGAATTAATCGCAAATTACATATGGCTGTGAAAATACCACCAACATATTATTTAAAGCTATTTTTGTGTTAAATGAGAAAGTATTAAGTAGACATTACAAATAGTAGTGTAGCGAATCAGCTCACGGGGAAATATGAATAATTAATCATAACTAGTTATAATTAATTATAAATATTTAGATCCGCTGTAAGTATTTACTTGACCTCTCAGGGTCAACTGTCTGTCAATTCTAAGAATGTTTATTTTTTGGTTAAGGGAAATAACTTTCTTACTGTACAATTCTACACAGAGCCTGTAGCATAAATCTGCATGAATGCAATCTAAAGGGTCAAGTTGATCTTTGCTGAAGTTGGTTGATGGAAAAGAACCAGTTTGAGTCAGATTATCTTGGTGAATGGAAAGTCAAGGCCCGAGGCCTGGCACAAACTTAGAGTGTCTTTAGCAGCGTTGTAGCTCACATCTTCTCAGAACCTAACAGAACCACCGACTGGAGGCGGGTCACTCATGTGAAGCCTTTAAGGTCTGAGAAGATTCACGCCTCTCAAGATTGGCTTGTCCAATGAGAAAGGCTGAAATCCCAAGCGGGAGGTTGCAATTACTGGAGGGTTTTACGACCCTTTGTGTGAGGGCATGGTAATTTGCATATAATAAAGATTCTTAGAACACTAATATGCTGCATAGGTACCAATATATAATATCCACTCTCGTTCAGATAATCAGAAGACGAATTCATAGATACTAAACATGGTAGAATTACATATAGGTAAGATGACAGAAACGAGTGGTTCCATCACAAGCCTGCATAAACAGTATACAATATAACGACAACATACACAATGACCTGAAGGATATGTGTGTTCATTCAAAGAAAGGTTTTCCTATTAATTAATTAGAGAAGAGTCCATTTTTACTGTGCATTGTGTCTCTCCCTATGGAAAATGTAGTGATTTCCTCTACCCACATTCCTTTGGGCAATAAAACCAGTGATATCAGCATTTCAGCATTGGGTGACCAGGGGCCTGGTGTCTTTCTGAGGTGTTAAGATGCATTTCGGGGGAAGGGTCCATAGGTCCTCCTGTCCTCCTATAACTGAGGGGTGTTACAGAGTATTTGTTAAATATAGCTAACAAAATATATATTGTGTGTCTGATTGGTCCAGATGCTGCAGTAGCTTTAGAAAGAAATATTTTACTTGATTCAACATAAAATTTATTACACAAACGTTTAGGCTACAACATAAACTATATGGAACATAAAAGAAGATAATTAGACAAACTTTTTTTTCATTCATGCAATGGAAGTCATTGGTAACCAAAACAGCTTTGTTACCAACAGTCTTAAAAATACTTTCTTTTATGTTCCACAAAAGAAAGTGTCATTCAGGTTTGAGTAAATGATATAATTGACATTTTTTGGGTGAACTATCCCTTTAAAGTTGTTTTTCCCCCTTTTTTAAATGAAATAATAATATAAATAAGAAACCAAAACTCCCAGTCATTCATGTCATTCATGCATTCGATTCGTTCAAACGGCTGATTCATTCAGGAATTCAATAAATGGTATGAATGGGCCTTTGAATCATTGATTCACCCAATTCGTTCAAAACACAGATTCATTCAGAAACACAGACACACAACAATTCTGATGTCAACAACAAAATATCGCTTATCATATGTAAATATGAGACAAAAACTCATAAAGGCGCATTTCTGCCCCAATATCTTAAATTTTAGGGCATAACTGCATTTATGGGGTTGTTGCCCTGCATCATATTTGTCAACAGTCAACTGTATTGAAATGCAAGATGACGTACAGGTCTGGGACCGGGGCCAGTGCATTAAAATATTTTAGTTGCGTTATTTTTCATAACTAATTAAGTTAACGTGTTAAATTGACAGCCCTAATTATATTATATTATATTACAATAATTTATTTTAGTAACATGTAATACAACACAGACACTGTGATAACATAAACATAACAGTAGTAATCTTTATATAAATAAACTTGTCTCTGCTAATACCGTATGACTTTTACCTTATTTAATTTAGTATTTTTAAATCTGTACTGTCTTCCCTTTTATTGGGTGGTGTGGTGCTTATTGTTACAGATCTGACCTTTAGCCTTTTTGTCTGTCCTGATTTATATCGTTGTTCCTGTATCTGTAACTGAAAAGTTATGTTTAAGCTATGTGTATAGCTTTAGAAAGAAATATTTTACTTGATTCAACATAAAATTTATTACACAAACGTTTAGGCTACAACATAAACTATATGGAACATAAAAGAAGATAATTAGAGAAACTTTTTTTTCATTCATGCAATGGAAGTCATTGGTAACCAAAACAGCTTTGTTACCAACAGTCTTAAAAATACTTTCTTTTATGTTCCACAAAAGAAAGTGTCATTCAGGTTTGAGTAAATGATATAATTGACATTTTTTGGGTGAACTATCCCTTTAAAGTTGTTTTTCCCCCTTTTTTAAATGAAATAATAATATAAATAAGAAACCAAAACTCCCAGTCATTCATGTCATTCATGCATTCGATTCGTTCAAACGGCTGATTCATTCAGGAATTCAATAAATGGTATGAATGGGCCTTTGAATCATTGATTCACCCAATTCGTTCAAAACACAGATTCATTCAGAAACACAGACACACAACAATTCTGATGTCAACAACAAAATATCGCTTATCATATGTAAATATGAGACAAAAACTCATAAAGGCGCATTTCTGCCCCAATATCTTAAATTTTAGGGCATAACTGCATTTATGGGGTTGTTGCCCTGCATCATATTTGTCAACAGTCAACTGTATTGAAATGCAAGATGACGTACAGGTCTGGGACCGGGGCCAGTGCATTAAAATATTTTAGTTGCGTTATTTTTCATAACTAATTAAGTTAACGTGTTAAATTGACAGCCCTAATTATATTATATTATATTACAATAATTTATTTTAGTAACATGTAATACAACACAGACACTGTGATAACATAAACATAACGGGGCCTGGTGTCTTTCTGAGGTGTTAAGATGCATTTCGGGGGAAGGGTCCATAGGTCCTCCTATAGCTTGTTAACTGAGGGGTGTTACAGAGTATTTGTTAAATATAGCTAACAAAATATATATTGTGTGTCTGATTGGTCCAGATGCTGCAGTAGCAGTAGCTTTAGAAAGAAATATTTTACTTGATTCAACATAAAATTTATTACACAAACGTTTAGGCTACAACATAAACTATATGGAACATAAAAGAAGATAATTAGACAAACTTTTTTTTCATTCATGCAATGGAAGTCATTGGTAACCAAAACAGCTTTGTTACCAACAGTCTTAAAAATACTTTCTTTTATGTTCCACAAAAGAAAGTGTCATTCAGGTTTGAGTAAATGATATAATTGACATTTTTTGGGTGAACTATCCCTTTAAAGTTGTTTTTCCCCCTTTTTTAAATGAAATAATAATATAAATAAGAAACCAAAACTCCCAGTCATTCATGTCATTCATGCATTCGATTCGTTCAAACGGCTGATTCATTCAGGAATTCAATAAATGGTATGAATGGGCCTTTGAATCATTGATTCACCCAATTCGTTCAAAACACAGATTCATTCAGAAACACAGACACACAACAATTCTGATGTGGCTTTATAGGTAATACTTTTGTTGGTAAAACTGAGCAAAAACACAATATTAACTTATTTGCTGAACTGTTGTATAAAATCATTTGCACTTGTTATATTCAGAACAAACAGCACTCGTGTGATATTGCTCTCCTTGCTCGTGTAATATCGCTTATCATATGTAAATATGAGACAAAAACTCATAAAGGCGCATTTCTGCCCCAATATCTTAAATTTTAGGGCATAACTGCATTTATGGGGTTGTTGCCCTGCATCATATTTGTCAACAGTCAACTGTATTGAAATGCAAGATGACGTACAGGTCTGGGACCGGGGCCAGTGCATTAAAATATTTTAGTTGCGTTATTTTTCATAACTAATTAAGTTAACGTGTTAAATTGACAGCCCTAATTATATTATATTATATTACAATAATTTATTTTAGTAACATGTAATACAACACAGACACTGTGATAACATAAACATAACAGTAGTAATCTTTATATAAATAAACTTGTCTCTGCTAATACCGTATGACTTTTACCTTATTTAATTTAGTATTTTTAAATCTGTACTGTCTTCCCTTTTATTGGGTGGTGTGGTGCTTATTGTTACAGATCTGACCTTTAGCCTTTTTGTCTGTCCTGATTTATATCGTTGTTCCTGTATCTGTAACTGAAAAGTTATGTTTAAGCTATGTGTATATGTGTTTCTTATCAGAGTGTGGCCTTGGCTTGATCGGCATTTGCTTCTTTATTCATTCTGACTTCCTGTATCTCATCAGTATGTCTGCTGTGTTGTATTCTTCCACGCCTCTATCATGCTGAAATCTCAGATGCTCCTCTAGCCAGTACTTATCTGCTGATGCAGTGTTTCTCCTTTTCCCAGGGCTGGACTGATTTTAGTGCTCTCTCTCTTGCAGGCTACACACACAGGGATGCGCTCCTACATTTACAAACAAAGCTCTGTGATTGGCTCGCAGGCGGAGCACACTGGGATGAGGACGTACTATTTCAGTGCGGACACACAGGAGGACATGAATGGCTGGGTCAGGGCCATGAACCAGGCTGCACTGATGCAAACCCATACAGTGAAGAGGTCAGTGAGTCACAAAACTTTACAAAAATATTTTGTTAATTAGGATTTAAGGCCAGAAAAAATATCTAAACATCATTAAAACAAGAATATCACAGAATATATCTTTGACATTTGTCTTGTATCAACATATATTTTAAACATAAATCTCATAACATTTAGAGCTAAATGTAAGATTTATGAATGTGAATTGCGTATAAAAATTTCCATCCATGTGGATTACACAGTTTTTACATAATCTAATAAACCAAAAGTGATGCATATTTGTCAGGCATACATAAATTGGTACAATTTCTGCAATAGTACTAATACACTTACATTACACATTAATCAGGTTTATATATTTATAATCAATAAATCCAGTTTGTTACAGTACCATGCATTTGAACTAAATGAAGATTGTTTGTTCCACATCTAGCCATATTTTAACCATGTTCGTACTTTTTAACTGAATAAATGTAGTTGTTTTCACAATGAACAGATTTATGTTGATTCTAAGTCAAAAAATTATTATATAAATAAAATTATAGTTGCAAATAGTAATAATATGCCTTGATGTTTTTGAGTGCAGAACTCGTACTTGTTTCATTTCTGACCGACAAACATGGATCATGTTTTATTAGTTTATTAGTTTAAATTAGATTACATCTGTATAATACAAATAAAGGGAAATTTTATATTCAATTTAAAATTTTATTTATTTATAAATAAAGTTTTTTATAAAACTTATTTATTTTATGAAAAAAAATCAACAAAAGAATAATGAAATGCAAGTGATATAACAAGTCTCAGTTAGCCTAACGCAACACACGTAGCAAGGTTTTTTTATTATTATATAATAAAAAGAAAACGGATAGAATTAAAAAAAGAATAGAGCAAGCTAGTGTTAGAGGCCTTTTTTGCTTTTTGTTAATTGTATAATAAATAAAAGGAAAACAAATAGATAGAATACAAAAAGAATAGAGAAGCTAGTGTTAGTTTTTTTATAAAGAAAACAAGCAGTTAGTAAATGAATAGAGTGCAAGTCTAAAAGGGGCAGTTTTTTAAAAGAATAGAATTAGAATAGAGAGTTCTAGAGTTAGAGGGTCAAATAAAGGTGGAACAGATGTGTTTTTACCCGATTCTTGAAGATGGCTAAGGACTCAGCTGCTCGGATTGAGTTGGGCAGGTCATTCCACCAGGAGGGAACATTTAATGTAAAAGTCAGTGAAAGTGATTTTGTGCCTCTTTGGGATGGCACAATAAAGCGACATTCAACGCAAGCTTCTAGAGGGCACAGTCTGAAGTAATGAATTTAGGTAAAGAGGTGCAGAGCCAGTGGTGGTTTTGTAGGCAAACATTAATGCCTTGAATTTTACGCGAGCAGCTACTGGTAGCCAGTACAAATTGATAAACAGAGGTGTGACATGCATTATTTTCGGCTCATTAAAAATGTATCTTGCTGCTGTCAAGTCAAGTCAAGTCACCTTTATTTATATAGCGCTTTTAACAATACAGATTGTGACAAAGCAACTGAACAGCATTAATTAGGAAAATAGTGTCAATAATGCAAAATGACAATAGTAAACACTAATTTTTCAGTTAAAGACAGTTCATCATTGAATTCAGTGATGTCAACATCCAGCTCAGTTTAAATAATATCTTTGCAATCATGTCAACGATATCGCCGGAAATGAAGTGTCCCCAACTAAGCAAGCCAGAGGCGACAGCGGCAAGGAACCAAAACTCCATCGGTGACAGAATGGCTGTGTTCTGGATTAATTGTAAAGGTTTGATAGAAGTGGCTTGAAGACCTGCCAAAAGAGCATTGCAATAGTCCAACAAGCTTGAACAAGGAGTTGTGAAGCATGTTCCGAAAGAAAGGGCCTGATCTTCTTGTGGTCTGAGAAAGTAAGCTGATCATCAATCATAACTCCAAGGTTTCTGGCTGTTTTTGAAGGAGTTATGGTTGATGTGCCTAACTGGATGGTGAAATTGTGATGAAACGATGGGTTTGATGGAACCACAAGCAGTTCTGTCTTGGCAAGGTTGAGTTGAAGGTGATGGTCTGTCATCCAACAAGAAATGTCTGTTAGACAAGCTGAGATGCAAGCAGCTGTCATCGGATCGTCTGGTTGGAATGACAAGTAGAGTTGAGTGTCATCAGCATAGCAGTGATATGAAACTATATATATATACAGTGGGGCAAAAAAGTATTTAGTCAGCCACCAATTGTGCAAGTTCTCCCACTTAAAAAGATGAGAGAGGCCTGTAATTTTCATCATAGGTATACCTCAACTATGAGAGACAAAATGAGAAAAAAAATCCAGAAAATCACATTGTAGGATTTTTAAAGAATTTTTTTTCTCATTTTGTCTCTCATAGTTGAGGTATACCTATGATGAAAACTACAGGCCTCTCTCATCTTTTTAAGTGGAAGAACTTGCACAATTGGTGGCTGACTAAATACTTTTTTTCCCCACTGTATATATTAGTGGTGTCAAAATTAGCTCATTAACGCAGGTGGTTAATTTTTTCAGTTTAACGCGTTAAAAATATTTAACACAATTAACACAGGGGCGGGGCTAGGGTTGGCCACCCCACTCACAAATGCTGCTTCTGTCACTTTTTCTCTGGACAAGAAGTGCATTTATTCAGTTGCAGAACGACTGAGAACGGGAGACGTTTCAGACATGCTCTCCACATCACTTCAGCGCCAGGCGCTAGTCAAACGAGTGCAGAAACGGTACTGTGCTCACAGCACATGCTCTTCAATTGCATGCACAAAGGCTCCAGCGCACACTGTAGCCTGTATCCTTTCATATCAAAGCACGAAATAAACTACGTGCATGCAATGTCATGGTCAGTTAAGTCATGAAGTTACCAAAAAGGCGATTAAAGGTGCCTTAAAACTGTGCATGCATGTAATATATTTTATATGAGTCACATTTAAGAACATGTCTCTGAAATGGTTTTCAAAACTGTCCTGGAGCCCAGCACAGTCTCACTCATCTAACACCCGATTTAACTTGTCAGCTCATTAATAGACACTTTAAGACCTGAAGTGGGTCAGAAAAGGTAAAAAGAGTTGAGAGAAAATATGATGCGTGTCAGATCTGCGTCACGTTCAGCAGCGGCAGCTGTAACCAGCTAAATAACCAGCTGCTGATGAATTAGTTAATTTTTTTAATCGATTGACAGCCCTTATATATATATATTTTTTTTTTTTTTTTTTGGAGTAAGAAAAATTTGCTTCTGGTCAAAAAAAGTGGAATTAAAAAGTTCTGATTTAGGTATATGTTTTTCTTATAAACAAATGTTTTCTAACATTTTCTTTTCTCTATTTTACTCTAAAAATATGAATTTTGTGTGATTTAATGTTAGTTGCAGCTGTTTTCTGAAGTGTTTGTTAAATAGTGTGTGTAGCGTCTCGACCAATCTGACACACTAATTTTAATTTGATTTAACAAATCAATTATTCATTAGGTTAACAAATCGTCAAAAATGTGAGATGAATTAGTTAATTTTTTTAATCGATTGACAGCACTTATATATATATATATATATTTATTTTATTTTTTTTGGAGTAAGAAAAATTTGCTTCTGGTCAAAAAAAGTGGAATTAAAAAGTTCTGATTTCGGTATATGTTTTTCTTATAAACAAATGTTTTCTAACATTTTCTTTTCTCTATTTTACTCTAAAAATATGAATTTTGTGTGATTTAATGTTAGTTGCAGCTGTTTTCTGAAGTGTTTGTTAAATAGTGTGTGTGTGTGTGTTTGTGTTTAAAGTGTACTGTCAAACGCAGTTTTCACAAGTCTGTGTCAAGGGACGTTGTGAGTCTGTAAGTGTTTGTCAGGCATCAGTCTTGTTGATTGACAGCGATGCTGCAGTGTGTCTTGCTCTGCCAGTGCAGAAGACCAGACGGGTACTGAGCAGTGACTCAGCTTTCTGTCTCTCTGTTGTCTGGGCCTGTCTCACTTCTTTGAGACAGTCACAGAGCCCGAACTCAGCTCAGAGTACTCAAATAGTCAAAATGACAAAATACTCATCCCTAGTTCAGATACTATAAACAAAAATAGGAAAAATCTGGAGTCACACTGTTTTTAAATAGTGTGAACGCAGGCTGTATAAACATGTATATGGTTTAGACCATCAATGCTCTCCTTTGACATGCGTAATGCGTGTCGCCCAATTTCAGCCATAAAAGATTGAATAGTTAGCTGTCACTGCTGGTGATGTCGTTAACCAAGGCACCAAATTGGGATCACGGCAGGATCTTTGAGTTGTCATAGCAGCCCAGCACTAATGAGACTAGTGTCAGCTTGAGCTGGCAGTCAGCGAGGCAGAAAATTAGACTGTGATAGTCCAGGATAAAAACGCCATTCTGAGCCATTTCTTTTCATAACTTCATGTAGAGACTCATAGAGTGGCTTTTCATTCTCACAGATGCCTTTATGTTTGTGTTTTCCCGTTCTCCTTTGCCAGAGATGTCTTGTGTATACCATTTGTTTGGTGCTTTGAATGTACTCAATTAGTTGTTCCATTTTAGCAGACTTTAAGTATGCCAGTTTAGTATAGTAAAAATACAATTGCAGGGTATTTTTATTAAGCACAAACCAACAGAATGTGGACTCGTACACATGGTTTATTTTACCTCATCTAGTGTACTGATTTATTATAGGCTATTTAATATAAAAACTAATATCAAAGACTTAAATATTATAGGCTAATTAATATATAAATTAATACCAAAGGCTTAGATATACACTCTCTCTGTCTACATTATAAAAACCCTAACAAAAAATATTATATTCCTAATAGTAATTCCAATAATTCCTAATTGCAATAATATTTCTCTATTAAAACAACAGTGGTTGAGTAAGTTTTTTTTGTTTTTTTTGTTGTTGGTGTTTTCAGATCATCATCAGCGATTCCGCAATGAAGAGCGAGCACGTGTGCATGGTTGCCAGATTGCAAAAATTAAGCAAAACACCGGGCAGAAAATGTATCTTGATATCTGTCAACTGCACACATGAAAGATCACGTAGTAGGCACGTACAGCAGTCCGCAATAATATTTGTTCTCCTTTTTTTTTTTTTGATGAAAATAGAGATTTTTGTATAGTTTTTAAAATACATTTTAGTCTTGCCTTTTATCATCAATGATATTGCATGTTGATGTAGTCATAGTTATCGTTTATTGACCTTATTGTCATCATCTCATTTTAGTCATGGGGAAAAAACCTTGTCAACGAACATTTTTCGTCATAGTTTTCGTTAACGAAATTAACACTACTGTGGGGTTAGTCAAGCTGTGCCTTTTTCTGCTACAGTGAGGGATATATTTAGTTTTATGAGCAGATTCCCTCGTGTGTAAAGGCTGGGTTACTGTATGATCCAGACTCCATGCTTTGGAATGGTGTTAATCTAACAGACCTGACATGTGGCAGCATGATAACAGCATCATATAATAGACTCATAAAACCTCACTGACCTTTGCACATGTCATGTTTTCGCCACACAGAGACGAGTCGGATCATCCAAACCAAGTGAACGTTTCTGAGAAACTCAAGCAGCAGGCTGTTCCTCAGACCAACCACATCAACAGCTACGTGATTCCAGAGCCCGAGGTCATCCAAAGTGACGGGCTGCTGGAGGAGAAGCAGGAAGGATTTGTTGGAGAAGTGGAGATTCGGGTTGTTCCAAGAGAGATGGAGCCGGCGAGGGGTAAATCTCCAGTGAGGAGGATAGTGGAGGTGGAGGTTTTAGCTCCAGGGTCGACACTAGCATCCCAAGTTCCCTCTCGAGCTCCTTCAAGGGCCGTCTCGACCCCGCCAGTGCTGAGGAACGGTACGCCCATAGAGCAGAACGGCATGCCTGGGTATCAAAGGGGGCCTACACCGCCTTCTCAAACTCCTATTCAGGTACAGAGGAGGAGCGCACTGGAGAAGGTGGAGAACTGGGTCAAAGTACAGAAGGAAGAACGCCAGGGGTGAGTATATACATCTGTCGCATATTTTTACACAGGCGAAATTCAAATGATTATACTTTTCTTACTGTTTGTGCCATGTAATGATATAGCAGAAGTAGTTAGAGTAGTATGGTGGTATGCTTCTCCGAATTCAGTCACAGACACGCTGTACAGAGAGTAGTTAGAAGAGTCAGATGTTACTGTGAAGAGTCATGGGACGTATCGCCCCCACGTGGTTGAAATCTTAATAAATCATCCTGACAGAAACAGCACCCTAATTTTCAGTTTGTCAAGTAGACATGAAATGCCATTCACAATTCATTTTACTTTTGTAATGTGAAATACTTATCAATGAATTTTAACAAGACGAGTCTTGCACTTTTTTATTTTAGGCATCAGGATGTGTTTGAGTTGTGAAAATTGGGAAAGTTGGAAAAAATATTTGATGAAACAAGACATTTTATGTTCTTTAGAATAGAATAAACCAATCCCTCAGTAAGACTTTGTTTATTAAAAATAAATACATTGCAATTTAAAAGTTATGGGTCAGTAAGATAGATAGATAGATAGATAGATCAGTAATTAAATATATCCATTTATTTAGTCAAATTAAATGAAAACACAACCCTATTGTTTAAATATTTCACAATATCCGCTTTTACACACTACTGCTGTTTAAAGATCTCTCTTTTTCACAATAAAATGAGCTTTTTCAAAAAGTTTTTCTTAATAATATGCTGAATATTATTAATAATATTATTAGTATATTATAATTTATATTAATATCAGATAGGATGCATTAAATTGATTAAAAATTACAGTAAAGACATTTATAATGTTAAAAGATTTCTATTTCAAATAAATTGTTGTTCTTTTCAACTTTCTCTTCATTAAAGAATGCTGACAAATTGATCACTGTTTCCAGAAAAATATTAAGCAGAACAACTGTTTTTAACATTTCTAATAAGAAGAAATATTTCTGGAACACCAAATTAGCATATTAAAATTATTTCTAAAGGATAATGTGACACTGAAGGCTGGAGTAATGGCTGTTTAAAAATGTAGCTTTGCCACCACATTAATAAATTTAATTTTATTTACATTTCTATTTTGATATATTAAAATGAAAAGAACGTTATTTTAAGTTGTATTTTTAATCACTAACTGTAGCCTTGGTGAGCATACAAGACTTAATTGAATAAAAATGTAAAAATCTTACTGATCCCAAACTTTTGAACGCTAGTGTACACAGTATACAGTGGGGCAAAAAAATATTTAGTCAGCCACCAATTGTGCAAGTTCTCCCACTTAAAAAGATGAGAGAGGCCTGTAATTTTCATCATAGGTATACCTCAACTATGAGAGACAAAATGAGAAAAGAAAATCCAGAAAATCACATTGTAGGATTTTTAAAGAATTCATTGGTAAATTCCTCTGTAAAATAAGTATTTGGTCACCTACAAACAAGCAAGATTTCTGGCTCTCACAGACCTGTAACTTCTTCTTTAAGAGGCTCCTCTGTCCTCCACTCGTTACCTGTATTAATGGCATCTGTTTGAACTCGTTATCAGTATAAAAGACACCTGTCCACAGCCTCAAACAGTCACACTCCAAACTCCACCATGGCCAAGACCAAAGAGCTGTCAAAGGACACCAGAAACAAAATTGTAGACCTGCACCAGGCTGGGAAGACTGAATCTGCAATAGGTAAGCAGCTTGGTGTGAAGAAATCAACTGTGGGAGCAATTATTAGAAAATGGAAGACATACAAGACCCTACTGTGAAGCATGGGGGTGGAAATATCATGCTTTGGGGCTGTTTTTCTGCAAAGGGACCAGGACGACTGATCCGTGTAAACGAACGAATGAATGGGGCCATGTATCGTGAGATTTTGAGTGAAAACCTCCTTCCATCAGCAAGGGCATTGAAGATGAAACGTGGCTGGGTCTTTCAGCATGACAATGATCCCAAACACACCGCCCGGGCAATGAAGGAGTGGCTTCGTAAGAAGCATTTCAAGGTCCTGGAGTGGCCTAGCCATTCTCCAGATCTCAACCCCATAGAAAATCTTTGGAGGGAGTTGAAAATCCGTGTTGCCCAGCGACAGCCCCAAAACATTACTGCTCTAGAGGAGATCTGCATGGAGGAATGGGCCAAAATACCAGCAACAGTGTGTGAAAACCTTGTGAAGACTTACAGAAAACGTTTGACCTCTGTCATTGCCAACAAAGGGTATATAACAAAGTATTGAGATGAAATTTTGTTATTGACCAAATACTTATTTTCCACCATAATTTGCAAATAAATTCTTTAAAAATCCTACAATGTGATTTTCTGGATTTTTTTTCTCATTTTGTCTCTCATAGTTGAGGTATACCTATGATGAAAATTACAGGCCTCTCTCATCTTTTTAAGTGGGAGAACTTGCACAATTGGTGGCTGACTAAATACTTTTTTTCCCCACTGTATATATAATAAACATAGCATAAATTTATGCTTAAATTTTTATTTATTTTATTTTATTTTAACTTTGGAATCGAGTTTAGTGACCCTGAATATCCATTTATTTTGTCCAAATAATGCATACAAATGTTTAAAAAATAATAAACAATTTGGTTGTCACAGGTTTGTATCTACGGATGGCACAATTCCACGTCGGACCCCTTCCATTCATCCGAAGTACGGCACAATAGACAAATACCAGTCTTTACCAAAGACCGTGCGGCAAAGCCCACCAACCGCTCACCGTCAGTTGTCCAGTGAATACAAATATTCCCATGACCGGCTTAATCACTTCCAGATGACCCACGGCCACAGCCAGCGACCTGAGACACACGACAACACTGTGTGGAAGCTCTACGAATGGCAACAGAGACAGCAGTATCGCCACGGCAGCCCCACCGCCCCTGTGTACACTCCCGCTCCAGACTACTCCACCGCCGTATCCTCCACCAGAGTCAACTCAGACATTGCTCGCTCCATTTCTGTGCCTCCGACCCTGGAAGATATCTCTCCACCGGGGCCTCCTGGGCCCAGACTGCTGTCTCCACGCAGACCCCACACGCCTGCAGAACGGCTTACAGTCAAACCTCTGGAGGACAGGCCCACCGTGGAGGTGCCACCATCAAACTCTCCTCACCGTCTACGCTCCTATAAGGTCAGTAGGTGACAAGAACAACCACCCTGTTAATCCATAACATCACAATCCACAGTAGTAGTATTTACAAGAAAGTCTGTGGGATTATGGAGGATTTTGAAGTTACACAAAGTACACTGTACTATTCAAAAGTTTGGGGTCAGTAAAATTGTCTTTTGCAAAAAAAGTGTCTTGTGCTCACAAAGACTGCATTTGATTTTCAAACGTACATTAAGAGCAGTAATATTGTTAAAAATTATTACGATTTAAATATATATTTTTTTATTTGAATACATACTAAAATATAATTACTTTTTTGTGATGCAAAGCTGAATTTTCAGCAGCCATTACGCTTGTCTTCAGTGTCACGTGATACTTCAGAAATCATTCTAATATGCTGATTTGGTGCTCAAGAAACATTTCTTAGTTTTTATCAATGTTTAAAATATTTGTGCTGATTCAATTTGCATGGATAAAAGATTAAATATTAATGTAATGCATCCTGTTGGATAAAATAAGTATTTAATTTTTGTTAAAAAAAAAATGTCACTATGACATGACACTAATGACACTAAGCTTGTAAACATTTTCAAGGAACAAAAATGTCTGGCAGTAAGGTTTAAAACTCTCCTTTAAAAGAAGTAAGCATTTTTTCCCGCTTTATTGGCTTTGAACGATTACACACTTATATGCGTCAGAATCACCGTCTTTGCAAGTATTCTCATAAACACAGTGATTTAGGTCTTAAGAGAGAGTAAACAGCTGAAAAAGAAAACGCATTTGTAAAAGTATATTGGATCCGGACTTCGGTCTTAAAGGGAAAGCTGTCTAATATTCGTCCTGTCTGCCATTCATATTAATCAGTGGCGGGCCGTGCATTTTACACCTAGGCCTTCAGTGGGGTCCTACATGAATTAATCCATCTCTTCATACCATCATAATGATGCCACGGCTATAGAAACCATACATATTACACAGTAATGCAGTATAACAGGGCACTACATAACAGACAGATATCTTATGTAGCGAGAATGAATGCCATTACTAAAGAAAGAAACCCAATTAACAATTGCACAACACATCATCTGTAGCTGAAGTATTAACCTAACAAAATGACACAAATACAGTCCATCCGAAGTTCTTACAGACATTTATTCACCCAAACGTATTTATACCTTACAGATAGCATTGGTATAAAACAAATAAGGTGATTACATGTGTTTTAAAGTTGATCTAACGTAACAATTTAATGTTCTCTTACTGCTTTATTTCGTCTTCACGAATCTCCCCGCCGGTCTGCCTCTGCCAGCGGCGCTGCGGCCGGAGGAAGACCGGTTAATACAGCTCCACTTGGGAAACTGAGATATTCTTATGGAAACTTAAACCTGGCTTTATATCGCGTAAATAACATCAGAGTTCACCGCATCAAGCGATAAAAGAGTCAAAAATGAAAATTAACCTACCATACTCTAGTGGTTTTTCATCTTCATGAGTCTTTCACAGAGCCGGTGCCGAGGAGGTGTGTGGTTGTTTTTCGCAGTCATTAGGACTACTGTTTTTAGATTGACTAAATATAGCAGGCAAATATTTTTTCAAAATGCACTGAAAATCTAAACCTGAGAAACAGTAATAAAAGTTTTACTACGTTTTAATAAAATGATTTACAGTGATGCTGTTTGCTAGCTAGTACGCTGACCGTCCAATCAAAGGACGAGAAAATGCTGACGTTATCGTTAGCCAGCTAGATGGCCCTGGTGCTGCCAACTCGAAATCTGATTGGTTAAAGCAACAGTTTCATTGCCATTGATTTAAGCTAACAGACGCCTGCACTATTGATTCTGAAGGCCTTAAGGCAGATTTCTTTGACCCTGGCAACACGATTGCTGAAATATGATAAGCTCTAATATAAACATACACTCCTGGAAGCAGTGCAACCAAGAGAAAAGCTATGAAATGAAGAGAATAGACTATCGGAAATAATTTAATACACATTCATGGAAAAATATATTAAAGTAAATCAGTGATTCTGATAGTGTTTAGGCCAGCAGAGAAGGCTTTGCTGGCCCTGACGGCCCACCACTGATATTAATCAAGCAACAGTGAGAGAAAATCTCTCACTGCTCTTGACTTAATCACATTTGTAACTTTAATAAGAAGAAAGTAAAAAAAAAAAAAGAATAATATCTATCTATCTATTGGATTCTATGGATTTTATTCATCCAAGAATCATGGAAAAAATGTATCACGGTTTCCACAGAAGTAATTTTTCAACAATGATAATAATACAAATGTTTTTTGAGCGCCAACTCAGCATAAGGGAACGATTTCTGAAATATCATGTGACACTGAAGACTGAAGTGATGGCTGCTGGAAATTCAGCTTTGCCATCATAGGACAAAATTACATTTTAAAATATATTAAAATAAAAACGGTTATTTTGAATTCTAATGATATATTACTGTTTTTACTGAATAAATAAATGCAGACAACCCCAAATTATTATAGTGTTATATGTTGACGAGCACGTGTTTTTGATGAAATATATTTAAATGTGTTGATCTCTTTTCATTTTCTTTTATCATTCTGCAGTCGGCCACAATAGAAATACGCTCAATGCCTCCATCCGGCTACATCACACATACAGTCAGTGCGCCCAGCCTGCATGGAAAAACAGTAAGACATTTTTTTCCACACAACTTTGGAAAAATATTAAGCAATTACAAATAATTTTACATTCAATTTTACAGTTTAGTTCATCTCTTTTGTGCCGAGTCTATAAGATATCAGCAATCAAAGTGGCATAAAATGAATGACACCCAAAAAACCTCTGCTGGTGGAGCCAGTCCTCTTCTTTTCATGGCTGCAATGGGCATTTGCGTAAATAATCTGATCACACAACTCTCTCTCTGCCTTGATCGTACCCTCACAACCTGTGGTCCAGCCGGAGGAGCTCACCCTTCTCCTCATCCAGTTACGGAGACACCAGGCCATGATGGCAGGTGTGCGCAACAATGCGCTGGCCCACCTCCAGCAGTTGACTCGGGTGAAGGTCAGGGCTCGGCCTGCCCAGCTAGCACCTCTCATTACTAGCGTGCCTCTGCTGCTGTTATTTACCTGCCTGGCTCTCTGTAGCTCTCTTGGCTTTGTTACATGATGCTTCTTTGTATTGTACCGTAGCATGGCATGTCATGCTTAGGGGCTGTATCTGGCTGTCCCACCATCGGCATGAATTGTATATGCAATCGGTCTGAGGCATTATGCATACTACATGAGTATGCTTTGCTGTTGCTCCAAAGTTTGAAAATACAAAGATCAAAAATGTTTGCTTGCATGGAGTAGGTGTACGCTGGAGTCTGTGGTCCCCATGAAACATTATCTAAAGTTCTGGTTTGATCTGGTTGTAGGATATGCCTAGATTATTTCAACAGTAACGTCATGATAATCATGTTTTGTTATTGGTAGTAATAATATGTGTGCAGAAGTGTGTTGCTCTAAGTGTAATTGCTTTGGTTTTTACTGAATGCGTTTGCGTCAAGGACTGAGGTAAAGTTAAACGAATATTCAGTAACACCTTACAATAAGGTCTCATTTGTTACTGCATTAAGTAACATGAACTAATAATGAGCAATATATTTTGACAGCATTTATTAACCGTTGGAAGTGTTAGTTTATAAAAATGTTAATGTTCATGTTAGTTCACATCACAGTGCATTAACTAATGTTAACAGATACAACAATTGATCATTAGTAAATGTTGAGATTAACATTAATAAAGATTAAATAAATGCGTAGAACATTTAAACTCACCCTCATGTCGTTCCAAACCGATAAGACCTTTGTTCATCTTCAGAAGACAAATTAAGATATTTTTGATGAAATTCAAGAGCTTTCTGACCCTGCATAGATAGCAATGCAACTGAAATGTTCAAGGCCCTGAAAGGTAGTAAGGACATCATTAAAATAGTCCATGTGACATCAGTGGATCAACCGTAATATTATGAAGCTACGAGAATACTTTTTGTGTGCAAAGAAATCAGAAATAATAATGACTTTATTTAACAATTTCTTCTCTTCCGTGTCAGTCCTCGGCATGCATTCATGAGTTCACGAGACGCATGCTTGTGGTGCTGCTGACGCAGGAGCTGTCGTTCTGACGTAGAATGTCCATCTCTCTTAGTTCAAATAAGTAAGCCTGGGCAAAAAAATTGCAAGTCATCCTCTCTGACTTATTTAAACCAGAATATACAGATGATGAACTAAGAGAGATGGACATTCTGCGTCAGAATCCCGGCTCCTGTGTCAACAGCACCACAAGCATGCGTCTCGTGAACCCCTGAACTTGTGAACGCGTGCCGAGGACTGACACAGAAGAGAAGAAATTGTTAAATAAAGTCATTATTATTTTTGTTTTCTTTGCACACAAAAATTATTCTTGTAGCTTCATAAAATTAAGGTTGAACCACTGATGTCACATGGACTATTTTAATGATGTCCTTACTACCTCTCTGGGCCTTGGACGTGGTAGTTGCAATGCTGTCTATGCAGAGTCAGAAAGCGCTCAGATTTCATCAAAATATTTTAATTTGTGTTCTGGAGATAAACAAAGGTCTTGCGGATTTGGAATGACATGAGGGTGAGTAATAATGACAGAATTTTCCGTTTTGGGTGAACTATCCCTTTAATTGTTAGTTCATGTTATCTAATGTGGTTAACTAATGTTAACAAATAAAACCTTGTTGTAAAATATTACCAAATATTCTTTTGTTTCCAACCTAATGTCAATGTAACACACTCAGAATAATAATTTTCTTAATCTATACTTTTGTTTTGTTTTCCTGTAAAAAAATATAAACATCCATAAAACAAACATAAATTTACTTGAGAAGGGAAATCACATAATATATTAATTAAGACTTATTTCTGTTTTATGCTTAGGTTAAGGGTTAAAACCTACTTTTAGGTTTATGCTTAAAACAAACTATTTGCTGCCAAAATGGGAAAAACTTCGTTAAAAGTATGTTCTATGAAATAAAGTGTAATTTCTTAATATCTTACAAAACATTGCTTCTCAAGTAAATTTACACTACTGTTCAAAAGTATGGGGTACTTTTCAGGGCAACTGATGATTAAATTAATGATACTGATCAAAAGTGAGAGGAAAGACATTTATAGTGTTACAAAAGAAATAAACACTTTTGTTTTGAGATTTCAAAAAAAAAAGTAATTAATTAAAGCTGCAGTCCGTAACGTTTTTGTGTTAAAAATTTATATAATAAGCGAGTACACCATGAATTAATTTTCCAAACCGTGTTTTTGGCTTGTCCTGAATCACTACGGTACACCTATAATAAGTGTTTATATTCTGACTATTTCAGACTGGTTCGGGTCGGTCCCACTGCGGAGTAGCCCAGTACCTGTGTGATTCGTCATTGACATAAACAGAGAGAAGTAGCTCCGGCTACAGTGTTCTTCCGCAAGACGCTCGCAGTTCTGTTTATTAACCGCTAGAGCACCAAAAGTTACGGACTGCAGCTTTAACTAATTAATTAATCACGGAATCAGCATATTAAAATGATTTCTGAAGGATCATGTGACACTGAAGATTGGAGTAGTGAAATTCAGCTTTGCCATCACAGGAATAAATTTAATTTTCAAATATATTAAAAATGAAAACAGTTATTTTAATTTGAAAAAATATTTCACATTATTACTGTTCTTGCTGTATTTTGATCCAATAAATGCAGCCATTGGGCATAACAGACTTATTTTAAAAACATTTAAAAAGTCTTACCAACCCCAATATTTTGAGCGGTAGTGTGTATAGCTGTCACTTGCATGTAAATGCGAACAATATTCAACAAAGGAGTCTGTGGTATCAAGCCAGTAGTGTGATATGTGTAGTTTGTCCCAAAGCTGGCACACAAGGTGCATAGCCAGCTATTGCTTCAGTGCTAGTGCGGTGTTACACTAAAGTGTGTGGTGGATAGATAAAACAAATCATTAGTGTTAATTAAAGAGTAGAAGAGTGCCAATTGAAATGTTTCCTGCTACTTACAGGCTGATGACACATACATGGACTTGAAGAAGGACCTGGAATATTTAGATCTGAAGGTGGGACCTCTCCATTTCTGTTTCTCTTATTCCTGTCTTAACTTCTTCTTAAACCTTCTGTATTAACACACTAACACAGCACAGAAAGCTCACTTGGGGCGAGGAATCAAGCATTTGCTTTATTTCAGAAATTGATTATATTTAGTATGCTAACTTTGTGGCATAATCAGGAATTATAGAATGGTAATGGTAATAATAATGATCCAGTCGAAGCGTATATAAGGCTGGTCCTCCTTTGACTATAACTGTCTATCTCCGTTTGCCACAGATGAAAAGTTTAGAGCCATTGATCCTCATGGTTCACAGTGTGTTACAAACCTGCACTGCGGGGGGTTTGAGACCACTCTGGAACGTAAGCACTGTCGGCATCCAGAGTGTCCGCATTCCCATTGCTTTACACGGTGCACATAGCTTTGTGTTGGCACAAGCCTGGCACCTGCACGCTTATCTTCCCTGCCTTTTGTGAGTGATATGTTGTGCTGTGGGTATGTGTGATTGGGTCAATGAGACAGCAGGTCTGGATGGGACGGGCAAGCTCAGTGCATGTGCAGGGAATGATTCAAATTTAGCCAGCTGATTCACCTATGCATTCTGTTTCTTTCTTTAACAAACTATTTATCTCATTAATTTGATGTCTAGTAATTATGTGTAGCTTTCTAGATGATCTGTATGTTGTAGCAGTAGAATATTCCTCTGAAACTTCCCTTACGGCCTCCAGTATCAGTGTTGGGGAAAATACTTCTTAAATACTTAATTCCTCTTGAAACAATTATTCAGAAAACTTACTAGCTTCACTACAAGCTGCTAACAAAAAGTAGCTAACTACATTGATGGGGGCAGTTTTCAATTATATAATTATCAGATAATATGATATAGTTAAAAAGAGCCAGAGTAATCTGGCACAAAATCAATAAGTAATATAATAGTATAATGATTAATAATATAAATTAGGCTAACAGCATCCAACTTAATTTAAAACAATACAATTAAACAACACTGAAATTTCTATACACTATCACTATTTTTTGAAAAGCAGCGTAACTAAATCAAAAACAGTGCTAAAATAATTTCTTTGCTTTTTATTGCTAAAAATATTATACTAATAACTGCATATCACTACAAAAAGAATACATAAAGTGCTAATTTAAATTATTTAAATATGCATCTGTAAATCTGTTTTTGATCAATTTCATTTAAATGAATCATCCAGATGATTTAAATTGGCCTGCCAATTTCTATTTGATTAGAAAGAAACATTTAAGTTTGACACTTCTCGCTTGGTTGCAAGGCTGTGTGTGAAATAATGTAAAAATATAAAAAGTACACCGTTTTGAAACCAGCTAAGCTAAGTTGTAGCTTTGCTATTTTTAGTTAGTTCCTCCCCCACACTGTCCAGTTCATCGTTGTCCAGAGCTTTGGTTTCTTTTATGAGTTTACCATGCAGCGTTTTCTGTGGAGGCTTTATTTTAGACATTGCATTTATGTCCCACAGCTGTATTCTGTTGGCATGAAGATCAAGTGAGACAGACACCATCCTGCCATTGTGCTTCCAGAAAGCTTCAGCTCCTACATCTGTGCATTAGAAACGAAGAATACTGTCTCAAAGCTTCTCACTGTGACTTTTAGTACAGTGGCCATTGTATAGTGTTGGTCTTGCTTCGCTTGTGTTGAATAGATGTGTTTCTGTCTCTGGAGCACTAAGACAAGGAGGCTTTTTCTGTGAACTGTCTAATAGGTGAGTGGGACAGAGACTCTGAAAGGACGGCCGGCAAAGCCAGTGAAGGTGGCAGAAAGTGATGTAGATGTGAGTATAAAGGACAAATCAGTGTCTTACTCTTTAATTACATATTGCTATGCACAAAACATCATTATTTCATATTATTTAGCTCAATGTCCTGGTCTGAACTGGTCCATAATGCTCTGTTTGCTACTGCAGGTGACACTGAGTCGATTGTGTGAACAAGACAAAATACTGCAAGAGCTTGAGTTCAGACTCAGTGGACTTAAGGATGATAAGGTGAGGCAAATTTGACTTTTATTTTGATCTTGTTGTTCTGGGTATGTCAGTGTTGTTATCTTTGTTCTTTCTTTCTAGGACAAGCTTGAGTCTGTTCTGGATGTGTCCCACCAGCAGATGGAGCGGTACAAGGATCAGCCGGCTCATGCTGAGAAGATCGCCTACCAGCAGCGACTTCTTCAAGAGGACCTAGTGCATATTCGAGCTGACATTTCTCGAGTTTCAACGGTGAGTATATTATGTGATGTAGACCTACAGTGCTTGCCATCTCCATTCATCCATATAATATATTGTAATATACATCCATTCTCCAAATCGCTTGTCATAGGGGTCACGGGTAATATAATATTTAATGTAATGTATAATAAGTAAACTGGTTGTTGGTGTAGAAAAAGCTTTAATTGTTCATATATTTGTATTGTTCAGGAGATGGAGAGAGCCTGGGAGGACTACAGCAGGCTGGAGCAGTCAGTGGAACAGCTGAGGGACGTCCTGCAGACTCAGATGAATCTCTGCACATCACCTCAGGTCTTTTTTCTCTCCATTTCTTAATCCTTTTTTTATAGTCCTGTCTTTTTTGCTATCATGATTTTCTCTCACCTACTTGATTAGCTGCCTTATTAATTTTTATACATTTTTACATAAAAATATGCAGTCACCTTTACCTAGAATCAGTTATTTTAGTATCATTGAAATACAAAGTTCTGGCATGACGCAGTCCGATAGATCTAACTCAGTATGACACAATGACATCATTATCACATGTCACAGCTGATTGGTTCTCTCCTGTATCATAGCCAATGAGCTCTCTGCTAAACATTCAAATATTTGGCTAATGCTTGTGGTAGCAGTTGCAGCACACTTCAGAACACTCCACACTCCACCTTCCCCAGCTCCACCTGTATAGATCTGCTTTGGGGTGATCATGTGTGCTATGTGGGCTATTCACATATGTTATATGTGCAGCAGCAGTATTTCTTGTGGATGTATTGGCAGTAGCCAGTCTAAGTACTTGCTCTGCAGCAGCAGCAGCAGCAGCAGCAACGTAGCAGATCTATTCCGCTAAAACCAAATACATTAACATTGTCATGTACATTACCATGCCAATCCCTCCGAGAGTTTTCATGACAGAAATACTATTATATGTTTTCTTAATATTTTGAATTAGCTAGTTTTTATTAGTTTTTATTAGTTTTGGTAATTCGTTTTAGTTTATTTTGCTCAATTTATTTTAGTACTTAAACTAAATGAAAACAAGAAATGTTGACTTGGCCAGAGCTGGGTATTAACTGATTACATGTAATCTGGATTACATAATCAGATTCTAAAAATTAAGTATTTGTAATTAGATTAAAAGACATTTTAAAATACTCGTAATCAGACTACAGTTACTTTTTTATTGATTACATGGTTACAGATTCACGCAACATCAATACATTATTCATGATTTATTAATTCTCCCTAATTCCTCTTTTTCATCTTTTATATGTTCCTTTCTAAAATAGCCTACCGTTTATATACCGTCATAGAGTCTTTCAGTTTGGTGGACATTCACACAAAGACAAGTCACCGGTCAGGTGGCTACGCAGTATTTGACCACTGGATTTACAAGAATCATTTCTGGTTTAAGTGTTTCAACATTGCATCAAGTACTGATGAACACATTATTTTTTATTTGAATAATCACTCGGTAGGTTATTTAACCATGTATTACTATGTCTTTTGAAGGCTTTTGTCTTTCAAATACATTAAAAGGCACAAATTCATGTTATTTCTTATTTACATGTAATGTAGGCATTCCCAAACCTTTTTGTCATCTGAACGTAACAAGTACCCCTGAGATTTTAAAATAAATATTTATTAATTATCACATTTGCATGTCCATGGTTCTCTGACATTAGTTAATAAACAAATAAAACAAATAAAATATGACATTTTTTAATAAGTGTTTTATTTTAAGTGATGTTATCTTAAAATTAATTTTAATTTGACATTTTTTTTAATCTAATTAATTATTAGCTTGCAGTTCATTTACAAACCCCAGTTTGGGAAACCTTGACGTAGGGCTGTGCAAAAAATCGAATGCGATTTTCATGCGCGTCTCGTCAGTAAAGCCGCTCCTGTGATTAGTAGTAAATGCGCATTTACATAATCAGCAATGAATCGCCTGCGATTTTGAACGCGATTTTGCGTAGCTTGTCAGTGAACTACGGCTCTGTGTAGTAAATGCCGCTCCATCTGAAAGCACGTGCTGGAGATTTACTACTAATCACAGAACCGGCTTTACTGACGAGATGCGCATGAAAACCGCATTAGTTTTTTTTGCACAGCCCTACCTTGACGTAACGTAATGCACTTCATGTTGTTAATTACAGCAAATGGAATATATTTTCTTATTCTTTGTATTTTTACATCGTTACGGAACAAAATTATCCTATTTATTATTTAGTTAGATCAAAAGTAATCTAAAAGTAGTCTAATTATATTACCTCAAATGTGTAATATATTACGTTACTAACTACAATTTCTGTCATGTAATTTGGAATCAGTTACAGACTACAATTTGTAAGTAATCTACCCCAATTCTGGACTTGGCAACTAGCTAAAATAAAATACATTGTTTAAAATATTTTATTTTATGTTTATGGCCTATTTACACCAAGAACGTTAACTATATCAGCGTACACACCAGCGCACGCTAGCATTGTTTATCATAAGCATGAGCAGCAGTTATGTCATATGCTGCTTTAAATGCTCAAGCTATTAAAAGTCAGTGGAATCTAATTGGCTGTCAGTGTTTTTTTATTTTTATTTTTTAAGTGCCACTAGTGTTATAGTTGTGGTGTAAACGCCACTATTCTTTTAAACTTAAATCGTTTTTTAAAACTATATCTTATAGTTATCGTCCTTGGTGTGAACAGACCTTTTTTTATTTCAAGTAATTAATTTTTTTTTTTATATGGTTTTAGTAATAATAATCCTGGCTAGAATAAAAATACCATATGAAGACTTTTGAATAGGTGTGTTTTTTTCTCAGGAGAAAAATCAGTTGAGGAGGGAGCTCTGGAGGATAGAGGACGTGATGACTGGACTCAGCTCATCCAAAGAAACCTTCAAAATCACCATAGACTCAGTGAAAAACCCAGGTAAGAATGAACTAGTTAGATAGGGTTAATGAACCTACTACAGATCTTGTTCTTCTTAATATAACATTGGTATATAACTCTTGCTTTTGTGCTCTTTATGTTTGTGTCCAGAGAGAAAACTTGTGCCTTCAGTGATCAAGTCGACAGTGCCTTCTCGGTGCACGACCCCATCCGCAGTTGAGGTGCGGTCACCCCAACGCAGTCTTACCTCCAGTCCGTTATCACTGCCCATGTACAATGAACATCTTCAGCATCCTCACTCTGTGCCAAAATGGGTATGTATTGCTTGACTGATGCTGTTCCTAAAATTATTGTACTGTAAGGTACTTTAGACAAAAGACCCTTGCTAAAGACACCTAATTAACAATACTTAATGGTTTACTTAAGTGCATAATATTGTTTTTTAGGAAGAAGATGATGCTCCACCCAGACCACCTTTGCCCCTCCTCTATGATGAGGACACACCCCCTGTTGTCCCGCCCCTACCTAAAGAAACATCGGTCATCAGACACACTTCTGTCCGTGGCCTCAAACGACAATCTGATGAGAGGAAACGAGACCGAGAAAGCAGCTATGTGAATGGAGATTGCAGGGTAATTTTAACTCATTCGTGAAGGTCACTGTTATTGTAAAGTTAACATCAGTGTTAACTGAAACTAAAACTATTAAAAGTTGTTTTCAGTACTTTAAATAATTCTGAAATAAAATAAATATATTTAATAAATATAATAAATAGTTGTATTTATTTATATAAAATATTTATATTATATTATATTATACATAATTACAAAATCACAACAGAATTATTCAAACAAACTAAAATGAAAACTGAAACTATAAAAATAATTCAAAATATGAATTAATACTGTAATAGTGAATAAATAATACTAAAATAAAACACTTCAAGTCATTTGTTTTACTGAACTTCACATACAGTATATGAAATCAAATGCAGTTACTGAATAATGCAATTGTAATAAAATAATGTAATTTAATTAAGTGGCCTTATGTTTTAACACCATCCGTGTAACCATAACATTTAGTCTTTGCATTGTGATTGATTACTCTGCAGTTAGGATGAAATTAAATGTTTGAGCTTTAGGTGGAACTGCGATCCTACCTGAGTGAACCAGAGCTTCCTGGAGCAGGAACAGATCAAGTAGACCCAGGCTACCTGACTCTTCAAAGAAGAGGTGAAATATTATTACAGCTTTTAATCATTCAGGTTATCTTTAAGACACATGATGCTTTTAGTGGTAAAATGCCATTTAACAAGTTGTAATACCAGTATACCTAAAAAAAAATAATAATGTTGTGATCACTTAGGTCTGTCAGGCTCCTCATCCAGAATAAACCAGTACGGTGTGACTTCCTGTTCAAAATTTTAATAATTTTATATATATTATATGAATGTTTACATATTTATTAAATAAAAATGTATGTAATTTTAGTTTTTTTACTATTATTAAGCATATACAGTATATATATATATTAGATTTTATGTATTTTATTTTAAAAGTTTAAATATGTTTTTATGTTATATTATCATATTGTCATAATCAAAGTATAAATAGATGCTATACTATGTATCTATTTATATATTTGTAGTTTTATTTTTATTAATTTTTTTGTGGTCCTGTAAACAGTGTAACAGTTATCCTTTTGCATTGTGGATATTTTTATTTTTTTTACAAAGCTGAAATTCTTCAGCCGTCAATAGCTACATGTAAAATGTTGAATCTTTTTCTGTTTCATGTTGGAGAGACCAAAGAGTGCCTTGGAGCGGCTGTGCTCGGGAGAGTCTCAGCCTGATCACCCGCCGCAGAGAGGGAGGATGAGTGTGGAGGAGCAGCTGGAGAGAATGAGAAGGCACCAGAGAGCTCTAGTGCGCGAGCGCAAACGTAACTTGAGTCAGGGTGAGCGACAGCCCATGGGCTCCCGCACCTCCACTCGACCCGTCAGCTCTGACCCAGGACCAGTACGTTACTCCCTTCCAAATAAATACAGGGACCCTCGCTACGGCCCTCCACCATAAGGCCACAAACACAAAGCTAACATGCTAACACACGTTTTACTCTGTGAACAAAGCACAGCTTTACATTAACAGGCCATGGGTGGGACAGGGCCGTGCTGTGGGTGTGTTTAAGGATTGGCCAGAATGTGGACAGACACATGGAGAGTTACAGTCCAGAAATCGACTCCTGGCTTCTCCTGCACAGACTTGTGAATATATTCGAATGTGAAGAGAAACTGATAACACTATCTCTGACTGCCTTTCTGATCTCTCACAATGGATTGAAACATTTTTTATGCCCGTTTTCTCAAATGTTAATTCACTAAATTATTTATTATAATCTATATATTTTTTTTCTGAAATAATTTGTAAAGCTATATTTTATATGAACATGATATGGTGGGAATTATTGACCCTGCTGCCTCGTATTAACAACAAATTAATTGATATTTGGGTTTTCTTTGCTTAAAATCTCCTTTGTCTTTTTTTTTTAATTATGCTGCACTCAAAGGTATTTCTGTTGCGCACTTGCTCTAACATCTTTCACTGACTTCTCAGTTAATGACTGGTTACATCAATGTTGAGGATTGCATTTGGGAACTACATTTCCGCTCAAGCACTTAAATCAATTGGAAACCCATGCAATACTAAGTTCACATCTTCACAAGAGTCACGCTGCACATTGCCCCATTGTTTTGATTCATGGGACAATTTACACCACTCAGATCTAGATTCTTTATTAGATAGTTATCAGCTGTATGGCTAAAAAATGGCAAATGGGTTTCATATTACAGCAGTTAAAAACTACATTACTCACAGTAATTTATTTTGAGTTATCTAAGGAAAAATATCTATTCAATCTACTAACACCAATTCCAGTTTGGCTCACTCAATGAAAATTGAAAAAGTGCCCTCACTTCTCTAAAAATCATGGTGATGTTTGATTGTTGTTTCACTAACAGCTGCCAATCAGAAGGGTGTAACATTTTACTAACCCTAGTTTCAAACTGACAAACTTCACATCATTATCAATTGATACGAACTTTCCTCTTAACCGTTATTATGGCCAAAAGACCCCATGAATGAAAATTGTTTGTTAGCTTTGAGGCCATCTGTATGCTGGTGTGCTTTTAAAATTGTCTTTCAGGCCAAATGTACAATTTATAGACTTTCACTTCTGGAAAAACAGACCAAAAATATGAATGGCTGGATTTTTATCCCAAAAATAATTTTTAGAGTGAGAATGTTCCTCAAATCAAAACTGTACCACCTGACTAGCAATAGCAAGAGGAAAATCAATTCACATTAAATAAAAGGGAATAGTTAAGGCAAGATTTTTTTAAAGGAAATCTCTAATGCTTACCAAGGCTCCATTTATTTGATCAAAATACAGTAAAAACAGTAATATTATGAAATAACAGTACAAGTTAAAATATCTGTTTTCTATTATAATATAATTTAAATTGTCATCTGTTCCTGTGGTGGGAAAATTCAGTAGCCATTACTCTTTTGTAACATTATAAATGTCTTTACTGTCACTTTTGATCAATTGAATGTGTCCTTGCTGAATAAAAGTATACATTTCTTTAAAAAGAAATAAAATAAAAAATTCCTGACCTGAAATTTTGGAAGAGTAGTATATCAACGCAGGACGAACAAAAAAAAACTGCACTCGTCAAGGCATTTCATGGGGTCTTTAACCACACCAGCACCTTCATCACTGTTGACCTGTTTGTCAGTAGGCAATGATGTTGTATGTTGTTATATGAACTGTATACAGTGACAAAAAGAACCATAATTAATTAACAACAAAACTGTGATAGCAGACTAGCTGTAAGACAAATATAATATTGTTGTGTACATCAATACACCAACCTCTGAACTCGAATCACATCGTATTTTCTTCATTTTCTAATGTTGAGGTTTGCATTAAAGGCACAAATAAATAGAATTTTCTAAATACCTTTTTTTCATTGCAGTGTGACTGTATTTGTAGATGTATCTCTGACAACTGAGTAATACATGCCTATGAGTGGGGGAATGAATGGATGGGTTTGCATGGTTTTTTAACTGTTAAAGCTGATTGTAAGCTGTTTTGCATGGTTAGATGTGTTCAACTACAAAATTCTATAGCATGTTGTAATTTGGTGATGGGTGTGATTTGTAATAGTGACACAATTGCCTAATGCCTGTATTTTTTTCTCCTTTTTTCTGTCTCTTCACCAATTTGTCAACAAAACCAGGCTTAAATTTAAAGAAGTAGTTCACCCAAAAATGAAAATTTGCTCAAAACCTACTCACCCTCAGGCCATCCAAGATGTAGATGAGTATGTTTCTGTTATATCTATTGCATCACTTACTCATAAATTGAACCTGAATGGGTGCCGTCAGAATGAGAGTCCAAACAGCTCATAAAAACATCTCCATAATCCACAAGTAAGCCACACGATTGACACGACTTCATCAGTTAATGTCTTGTGAAGTGAAAAGCTGCATGTTTGCAATCAACAAATGCATCATTTGTTTATTGTAGAAGATAATGGATTATAGTCATGTGGATTACTAGTGAATTATTGTGATGTTTTTATCAGCTGGTTGGACTCTCATTCTGACGGCACCCATTCACTGCAGAGGATCCATTGCTGAGCAAGTGATGTTATGCTAAAGTTCTCCAAATGAACTATGTCTTGGATGGCCTGAAGGTGAGTACATTTGGAGAAAATTTTCATCACAACTATTTCTTTAAGTGCAGGAGAAACTACAAAAGCATAAAAACAGCTGACTTAGTTACTTAAGTAAAGATTAGTCATCTTTGTGATATGACAAAGATATTTTGTGTCTGACCCATGAGGTTTTAAATCCACGATCAAGGCTCATTTCCAGAGGAATTGAAGTGTGTGTTGCATAAATGCTGTATATTGTTGTCTTCGCCCTAGTAGGGATGGGAAAAAGTCATTGATTTGCATCGACCAAAACAGGCCTTGTATGACGAAAAACAGCGGCTGGGATCAGATGAATGGCTGACTGTTGAGGCCCGTCCAATGAACGCACAGGAGCTGGAGCCTGTGAACTTTGAGTTTGATCTTACACGGGAGGTATAGTCAAATTTTAGTGACATTTGCTGACGAACCAAGATCACCTGATTCAATCCTAACCAGTTAGGTTGTAACCCTGAAGTAAGAAATAATATTCAAAACTTTTTTAAAAGTTAATTGAACCTTTAGATAAAATATGAAAAAAGTTTGTGCAAGTATCATATTTGTTATGACTTTCATGGCCGTATTATATAGGAGAATATGGAGCTCATACTCGAGGAGGGGAAAAAATTTACTCAAGAGGCCCAAACTAAGCAAAAATATTAAATTTGGTGCAGTTGCTGGTATTTATGAGCAAAATGTAAGATGAAATTCTGATAGCTTATAATATAAATCTACAACAGCATAGCAGACTAAAAATGCATGTAAATATCAGTCATGTAATGTATGGATAATTAAATAAAGCCACGTTGTTGCAGTCCAGTTAAGTGTTCAACTTCAAATTCTATAAATATAAAACTTCTTCTTACCTTTGCTTTATAAAAATCAGTTCACCACAAAAACGTGTACCATGACCTGAATCAGTTGCTAAAAAATATAAACTAGCAATCAGATGACAGAAAGCAAGTAGATTATGTACAACAGATTTTTCAATAAAGTTTAGATTATGTTGATAACTTAAAGAGTTCTTATAAATTGAAATAATACAATCACGAACGATACATCTTATGGCAAGCCGTTTTAGCTTAAAATATTCCCAGCGTTACTCGTCGTAATTGCAATTTTACTAGTAACAATTCAATTAGAGAGCTCTACAATTAAATTCTTACTAGTAACAATTATAATTAGAGAGCTCTCTAATTCAATTATTACTAGTAAGAATTCCAATTGCAGAGCTCTCTAATTCAATTCTTACTAGTAACAATTCCAATTAAAGAGCTCTACAAATCAATTTAAAAATACATTTACAGAGCTCTATAATAAAATTATTAAGTAAAAACCACATTAAAGATATGTTTAATTGCAGAGCTCTGTAATTGAATTAAAGAGCTCTCTAATTCAGTTCTTACTAGTAACAATTGAATTAAAGAGCTCTCTAAATGGAATTCTTACTAGTAAAAACTGATTTAGAGAGCTCTCTAATTGTAATTGTAGTAAAAATTGATTTAGAGAGCTCTCTAATTGAATTGTTACTAGTAAAAATGCAATTAAGAGTAGTAACGCTGTGAATATTTTAAGCTAAAACGGCTTGCCATAACAGCTGGCTTTTTCGGGTTAAAGGGTTAGTTCACCCCAAAATGACAATTCTGTCATTAATTACTCATCCTCGTGTTGTTCGAAACCTCTAAGACCTTCGGTCATCTTCGGAACACAATTTAAGATTTTTTTTTTGAAATATCATTTGACCCTCCCATAGACGCAAGGTAAATACCACGTTCAAGGTCCAGAAAAGAACCAAGATGATCGACAAAGTAGTCCATGTGACATCAGTGGTTCAACTGTAAAGTTACGAAGCTACGAGAATAAATTTTTGCACAAAGAAAACAAAAATAACAGCTTTATTCCACATTTTCGTCTCTACTGTGTCACTTGTGGACGCCCGTTTAAGACAGTATCATGACGCGAGCGTGTGGTGGCGCTGACCCAGATCCGGCGTAATGGCGTCATCACGCAGGATCTGGGTCAGTGCCGGCGCCGCCACACGCTCGCGTCATGATACTGTTGTGAACACGCGTCCAAAGTGTCCAAAGTGCTGAGTAGAGACAAAAATGTGGAATAAAGTCGTTATTTTTGTTTTCTTTGAGCAAAAAAGTATTCCCGTAGCTTCGTAACTTTACAGTTGAACCACTGATGTCACACGGACTACTTTGTCGATCATCTTGGTTCTTTTCTGGACCTTGAACGTGGTAGTTACCTTGCTGTCTATGGGAGGGTCAGAGTCCTCATATTTCATAAAAAATATCTTAAATTGTGTTCCGAAGATGAACAAAGGTCTTACGGGTTTCGAACAACACGAGGGTGAGTAATTAATGACAGATTTTTCATTTTTGGGTGAACTAACCCTTTAAGGAATAGTTCATTCTAACTATTAAGTCTGTATTATTTGAGATAAACTCAGTGTATTGTGGGATTCCTCTGTTGTCAGCTGTGTACGCCACAGAAGGTGTCCATCCCAGAGAGACTCATGGATGTGGAGTTAGATGAAGACCTGAGTCCAGAAGAGAAGGAGACTCGTTCTCGCACCATAGCAAAGATAAAAAGCCTACTGTCGAAGTCGAGGTATGGTGGGAAAATAAGACTTAAACAGATGTAAATGGATGATGTACTAAGATGTTGTCTTCTGTTGTGGCATTTCAGTGTGAAGTCTATGGATGCCGAGCAGACAGATTTCAGTGAGCTGGATGAAGAGCTGCAGCAGCAGGAGAGGATCATGAGCTTTCATCGAGCTCTCGCCACAGAGGCCTCCATAAAGAGGAAGCAGATTACCGGTGAGACATCATCCAGCATCTCTGGGAACATTATAATATAGTATTTTATCATACACAATGTCATCCTGATATTTATGTGAATTTTCAATGTTTTGTTTTGCAGCCAAAGCCATGTCTGAGTGCTAAAACGTGTTGAGAAGCTTTCTTGGGAACCAAAGATCAATCGTTTTGTGTGCGTGTTTTGTACCTAATACGTATTTATAATTAACATTCAATCATTCAGGTTCTCTGTTGTTCAGAACTTTTTATATGTGAGATTGTTTTTATTAATTTTACTGGTGAGCACATTGAAAGTTAAACTTTCAGTTTTACAATTCTGACAATTTTTAAATTTTGCATGACATTTTTATCACCATGTAATCGTGACTTAAGGTACTTATTCTTTTGCAGTGTTGTGTATTATGTATAAAAAATATTTAATTTTATTTAGATTGTGGAGTACATTGCATTTCATTTCAGCAAAACTGAAATCTTCATATATTAGACTGATCATTAAAAATTCATAATTTTCATACATTGACAGACAATAGAGCTCAAGCTCTAAATAAAGTTTGTTTGCACAAAGTTATTACATATAAAGTGGTTTCCTTCTTATTAAAACATAATAAAGGTTCCAGATATACCATTATTAAATTTGCATAGTCTTTTCATATCTGTTTGTAGACATGCAGTGCATGTTTCCTAGTATAACTCTGACGGCTTTTCATTTTAATTTTTTCTTTATGAAATCTTTTCGGGGGCAGGGCAGACAAAAATACATATATGGAAAGTTTTAAAGCTTTTTATGATCACAATCACAGAATTTTTACTCTTTATTGATATTTTCCTACACCTTTTAATACACACAGGTGACATTTTGTCTGCAACTTTCTGTACCTCACTTTCTTGATAATTCTATAAAGATTTCATCTACTCATCCTCGTGTGTATACGACATCATAAGGGCTGAGTAGACTGAGACCGGATCTTCATTTCTTATATGAACTATGCCTTTAATTTGTAGAGAATAAACCATTCTCAACAAGACCAGGCAAGTCCGAATGACTTGACAACAGACATAATTACATTTAAAATTGAAACCCACAATTTTTCAATTTTAATGGAAATAAAAATGTGCTCTCTCTCTCAATACCTCACTGGAACATTTTAGGAGATCAAGAAATTACAACAAAAACAATGCCATTTATGTGGATTTTACAAATGCCATTTTAAAAGTATTTTTCTTGTCCTCCTTTGAGTCTGTGTGTAGTTCCTGTTTCTTGAGCTCTGAGTTGGATGAAGGTGTTTTCTCATCCTTGTGTGGTTCTGATGGTGGTTCAGGGGCCTTTTCTGAACTGTCTGACTTCTCGGGCACAGCGGCGCTCGCACTCTCAGCAGGTGGATCGGGCTTGAAGAGGAAGCACATCAGTTCACAACAAATCAACAACAGATGATCACGCGTGTTCACAGACACACAGTATATCTCAGTTAAAGCTTATCAGGAGTAATTCACAGTATGTTAGTCTCGATATATCAACATTATGTCAACCCATAGCTTCTAAGAAAGAGCTCTGACCTCACTAAAGCCCAGTCCACAGTGTCTCCTGTTCCTTCCTGATAACTTCCCATCCAGACCCTGCTGATACTGGTGCTCGAGCTCTGTGTTAATCTTCCGATCCTCTGCCCCTACAGACACACAATATACCCTCTTCATTACAGACAGTTAAAGGCCATCAGCATTTTCCCATATTCCCAATGTTGTTGATATAGCATTGATAGACATTCAAATTACCCCATAACAATAAAATGTCTCCCTGATGGTTGTATATCAGTATGAAACTAGATTAAAGTAGTTGTTTTATATTTTACAAGTGTAGAATGCATTGTAACCTGGTCCTATGTGCACAATAAACGACAGGACATTACCAGTGGTTGCTTTAAAGGTCAGAGCATGTACTCTTTGACCAGTGATCGCTGTAGGGAAAAGGATATGTGGCGTACAGGATGTCATCTGATGGTCGCAGTCTCCGCACAACTGGGGATTTGGAAGGGTCTCATCCAAAACAATAGGAGGTTGCAATCACTTTTTGAACTGTCAAGCATTCAAATCCAGCAACCCTTCACTTCCGCCCTAGAGACTCACCGCTGCGGAAATGGGAGGTTGACTTGTGATCCCCAATAACAAGGCGTCCAGTGTGCTCTTTCTGCCAGTGCATGAAAGCAATTGAAGCAAGAATGGGCGATAGTGGTTACGTTCAAATTACATAATTGTCTGAAACAAAGAAATGACTTAACAGAAAGCAATGTACCTTTCCTGCTCCCATCAGCTTCAAAAACTTCTGCTTCCTTTCGTCTGTCCCTAAATCTGCCGATCTCCATTGTGTGGCTCCTATCTGCATAACAGGTCAAAACAGATTCAGTTGAGCCATTAGGGTGTTACAGAAAAGCATATACACTTACATTTTTTCTTGTGTGTGTGTGTATATATATATATATATATATATAAGCACATATATTAGCACACCACTTAAAATTAAAATGACGTTTATCTAAGAATGCAGAAAAAATGTTACCAGACATAACCTGGAACTGAATGATCTGGTAACGTTATAGTAGTTATTATGCAAAATTATTATTGAAGAAAACGCAATACAGTAGCAAACAGGCAGTTATTACACTAATAACATGCATATATCAAATCTTCGTCACACTAATAACATTTAAAAATAGTTACAACATATTGCTAACAATCTGCTAATACTGCTGGTTCACCAAAATATCAGCTCAGCTGTAGTAAATAAAATAAAAAGTGCATGATGATGGAAACCACATACTTTATCTGGAGATGCGGGTCGCTTCGTGCCTTTACACGTTTCGTCTGAAGAACTCATGATTTTCAAAGATTCTGAACTACAGTTGTCAAATAAACATTGCTTGCGCCTGCCTGCTCCACCGTTTGCTTAGCAGCTAGCAGCTAGCTTGACCCACGCGGTGCATCATGGGAGTTGTAGTTATAACGACACGAAATCGAGTTTCCTCTACTTTTAACCTCTATTTTTAATGAATCTTCTTATTTTGCTAACAAAATATTATATACATACATGCAATGTTACATAGTTTATTTAAGGCAGAAACCACTTTTGTATGTTCTACAGCAGCATTTGGAACTATCACTTGTTAAGAAAAACAGTTGAAATCTGTTTTTTGTTATTCAAAATATGCGCTGAAAACGTAGCTATTTTGAGTCAACACATTCTTAGAAACATTTTAGCCTAATTGTTGTAAAGGAAATTGCTTTATTAATTCACTTCTACTGTTTTTAGAAATAAGTGTTAAGAATTCAAAACAACATCAAAACCCGTTTCTTTCTGGAAGAATAGCTTCCAAAAATACAGCATAAATGATAATATAACATACATTTCAGACAAAACAAATGATTGGTGTGAATTTAGATTCGTTATGCATTGCCGGTTAATCAATTAAAACGAAGTTTTACATGTGTAAATGTGGGGCAGAGCTCGGCACGGGACACGGACATCTCTCTCCCTCTCTTTTTCTGGTTCAGTGCGTTTATATAAGCACACGAGGTCGTGGGTAGTCTCTCAGAGTGGATCCGGACTGCCTGCAAATCGACTCAAATCCATCTGTGAAACAGACTCATCATCTTCCTCCAGACCAGCATCTTTTCAGCAGCTTCGACGATATCAAGCCATGGCTGTTACCGGCTGCTCTCAGTGCATCAAATATATGCTCTTCTTCTTAAACTTCATTTTCTGGGTGAGTTTGTTTGTTTACCAATATTATTTTAAGTTAATTGTTGTTTCCTGTACTACTAGTTTATTGTACGACCTCTGCAAATTTCTCAAGCAATGCTTTATTGCTTTAGTTAAATGAATACCAATGTCCTGATTTTATTCAACGAAGTCTTCAGAGCAGAAAACAATAAGTGTCATTCGGAAAGTTCTTCTTGTGAGTCTGACTCTGTAAACAATCGTCTGTGCTTTTCCCCTGATTTTTTCTCACCATTCTTTCAGTTTTTTTACACTGTTTATGTTGTTTAGCTAGAATTTAAGGATATTTAGAACACAGTCTATACGTGAACTGTAATAAAAGCATGTCATGTCAGAGATAATTGGAGGTTTCTGTGCAAAATATTTTGTGAAGCATACAATAAGTTTATTTTGCATCTCACAGTCGGCTAAATGGTATAGTCAGTGTTTTTGTTGTGAATGTATTCCTAGACATGAAGAAAAAAAATGTGTCTCAGGCTCCACAGAGCCTCCTGTAGAGTGAGGGTTAACTGTGGCTTTGTTGTATTTTTACACTTTCTATAATTATGTCCATGTGCTGTAGGGACACTGTGACATAAATAAACCATAAAAGAACAGAGAGCGAAAATCACATGTTAAAAAATTGGAGTAAATTTAGTCAAATGTGATATTTATTCATATTAAATCCTTTTTTTAATAGCTTGAGCAGTCATTCTGCTGCAATCACTTTATAAAATGTTTTACACTCTGCAGAAAACATCACATGATGTTCAAACAATGACATCACAGAGTAAAACTAATCATGAGTTTTGAGGAATGTCTAATTAGCATTTAGCAGCAAGACAAACATTATGGAATAACATTCATTACTGAAAATAAATAATGTTTACACCAATTCAGAGTCCTAAAAAGAAAAGTCATTGTGTTTTTATTCAAGACCTTTAATTTACATGAGAATGATGTTGTGTGTTATCATATACAGCGCCAATCCCAACCCCTCTTGAGATAGGCTACGTATTGTTTCCCGTCATTGTACTTTACACACTGCCAACACAAAAATATATTGGCCTGGCTTCCACATTTCTGTCACTTAAGCTGCCGCTTCCTGCTCTGCGAATTACAAAAAAATAAACAGAGGACTGACTCTCAGAGCTGAAGTGGACCCCCCACCCTTTTTTTTGTGTGCGTGAATAACACTAAACCTGTCAGAAGTTTCTTCCCCAAATGCAGGAAGAAATGACCTCTGGAATGACCTCAGGAAAAAGAATTGAAACAAACATTTCTGGGCGATGACATCTGTTGAGGGATTTTAAATTCCAGCTCTTTTAATCAGTCAAAGTATTTAAATGGTGAATTTATGCTGAAAAGTGCTAGTAAACATTCTGTTTATTTTCTCTTATTTTTAGCTGGCTGGTGGTGTGATTTTGGGTGTAGCTTTATGGCTTCGCCATGACAGTCAAACCAGCAACCTCCTAATGCTGCAGTTTGAGGGGAGTCAAGCACCAGGAACCTTTCATATCAGTAAGTGATTGCCACTCACAAACTAAAGATGGCTGAAGGCTAAACCATTGATCACAAAGTTGGTTTCTTGGCAATTCTAATATATTAAGTATAAATATTAATATTAAGTTCAATTATAAAAATAATAATCAGTTTTAAGAATGGTACCAACAGCTGCTTCATCCCTCAAATAGGTTCAGATTTAAAATGTTAACTACTTTAGTTCCAATTAACCAACCTTGTTATTTAAAGCAGCACTATGTACCTTTTTCTGTGTTCAAAATTTGCAAAATGTATATAATGAGCGAGTACGTCATGAATTCATCTTCCAAACCGAGTTTTTGTCTTATTCCGAATCACTACGGTACAGTTATAATAAGTGTTTATATTTGGACTATTGTAGCCTGGTCGGGTCGTCACCGCTGCGGAGTAACACATACCTGCGTGAATCGCCATAGATATAAACTTAGAGAAGTAGCTCCGGTTGGAATGTTCTTCCGCGGGATGCGTGCAGTTCTGTTTATTAACCGCTAGAGCGCCAAAAGTTACATACAGTGCTGCTTTAAACTAGCCACCCAAACCCTACTATCATAACCCTCTGAAAATGATCCAGCCCATTCATTTCCAACCTAAATGCTCACTTATGCCCGATGTTGTTAATTATATCCTCTTACAGTATAATTTAGATGCTGAACATTTATTTGGACTGTGCATTGTAATATTTCAGATTTAAGAAGTTGTAAACTATGTAAAATATTTGAATCATTATTATTATTATAAATTAGTATGTATTTCTACTTCTGCTTACAAAAAAAATGACAAAAGAGACATACAGAATATCATACAGAATACATCATTCATAAATTAAGTAAACTTGAACAGGTAATGCACTGACATAAGACCTTTATGCTGAATGTAATATATAAATAGTGACATTTATGCAAATAATAATAATAACAATGAATTATTATTATTATTAATATTATTTAATACTTACATTTAATGGAATTAATTTATACATTTAGTTATATTTATCATTATTATTGTTAAGAATAATAATTAGTAGTAGTAGTGGTGGTGGTGATGGTGATTTTTTGTTTTGAATTTTCTTTCTTTCTTTCTTTCTTTCTAATAACTGAAACAATAAACAAATAACAACAAACTAAATGATTGGCCAAAATATAAATGTTATAATAGTTTGTTAATATGCATGCTCAAGAAGCCTTTGCACTGTGAACTTTGAGAAACAATTAAATTAATTATCTAAAATAGAGGAGCATGTCTCCTCGAAAGATAGAAATAGGAAACAGGGTCTAAACTGGGCTCTGAGAGGGCCACTAAATCACTGTGTGTGTGTGTGTGTGTGTGTGTGTACCTACTTAACCATATTTTGGGGACAAATTTGTACCCAAAAGTGAGCTAAACCTGACAAAATCACCAAAAACCTCCCTTTGGGGATGTCCTCATTTGTAAAACTGGAATAAAAATAAAGTAAACAAAGTTTTTTTTTTATTGTAAAAATGCAGAACGTTTTCTGTAAGGGGTAGGTTTAGGTGTAGGGCGATAGAATATACAGTTTGTACAGTATGAAAACCATTACACCTATGGAGAGCCCCCACAGATAGCTAAGTACTGGTAAACTGTGGGTGTGTGTGGGTGTGTGTGTGTGTGTGTGTGTGTGTGTACCTACTTAACCATATTTTGGGGACAAATTTGTACCCAAAAGTGAGCTAAACCTGACAAAATCACCAAAAACCTCCCTTTGGGGATGTCCTCATTTGTAAAACTGGAATAAAAATAAAGTAAACAAAGTTTTTTTTTTATTGTAAAAATGCAGAACGTTTTCTGTAAGGGGTAGGTTTAGGTGTAGGGCGATAGAATATACAGTTTGTACAGTATGAAAACCATTACACCTATGGAGAGCCCCCACAGATAGCTAAGTACTGGTAAACTGTGTGTGTGTGTGTGTGTGTGTGTGTGTGTGTGTGTGCCTATTTCCTACATTGTGGGGAAACATTTTTTGGTCCCCATGAGGAAAACAGCTTATAAATCATACAGGATGAGTTTTTTTGAAAATCTAAAAATGCATTTTTAGGGGTAGGATTAGGGTAAGGGGATAGAATATACAGTTTGTACAGTATGAAAACCATTACATCTATTGAATGTCCCCATAAAACATGGGAACCAAACATGTGTGTGTCGTGTGTGTGTACAAGTATATTTAAACAACTATGATGGCAGCAGCACAATATCATTGCATAAGAGCTTTGATCCTGTTTGTCATGTAGTCAGATGGAGTCATGTTGTCGTTCTTGTATTTTCTTTAATAACACTGCATTCTGCTGCTTTCACATGAAGTCAGTGATTCTCCAGACACTCCCACAGGTTGTTTTAAAAGAACCAGGGAAATACTAAAGTTACCACAGGGCGTGTTCATACTCCACCCATGTGTTTGCACACACACACACACACACACACACTCTCAAGTTTACACACTTAACCACAGCAGATGTATGCAGAGAGTTCAGTGGCAGAAGGTCAGCATGTTGTGGGCACTAGTGTAGCGTTAGCACCCATTCATTTTTGTAGAAAGCATTGGGTTGTCTCTCTCCACTCAGTATAAGTACATGGAGGAACCAGAGCTCTGCCTGTTTCTTTTTATAGCAGCAACAACCTTTTCTGATTAAAGAAGTTGGGGTTGTTGGTCTGGCCCACCCAGAGAAAGAAGAGAAAGATGAAGCGTTCCCCTCCCACTGCTACTGAACATCTGTGTTTAATTGAAAAAGCCCTGCTCATGCCCGTTACACCACAAATTAGAATGAGCAGTGCTTGGGCTCGCTCAAGTGCTGGTTAGACAACCCTAAAAATATGTTCAAGCCCGGCCGCTGCAGCAAATCATTATAGCTTAGAGAGGAATCTGGCTGGAGAATACTTACAGATTCCTAAATATAAGTTTTAAACAGAGAGTGGAGCTTGTGCAGCAGGGATAGCTGTGTATTTTGCGCAAGGAGGCATATATCTGAAAGAGGATACACATAATATACTTGAGGATATATGATACAAGTATATACATCACATACTTAACTTTTTTTATCTTATGTAACCCCAGTTGCATCAGTAAGTTAAGCACACCTTCATTTAAAACAACCCAAGCTAAAAAGAAGTGTGCTTAATTGCATTGAATGCACACTTTCATTTAAATTTAATATTTTCAATAGACTTAATTGCAACTTTATTACAAATGTGTAATTACAGAAATATATAAATACATGACAAACAAGTTTCAATAGAAAGGACACTGACAAATATTTTAGTTTACCATACATGCTTGTCAGTACATAATTATGGGATAGTTCACCAGTCATGATGACTTCCATACTATGGAAAAAAATACTGTGGAAGTCAATGGCTACCATCAACCAACATTCTTCAAAATATTTTCTTTTGCGTTCAGCAGAAGAAAATACGTTTGGAACGAGTGGAGGGTGAGTAAATGATGACAGCATTTTCTTTTTTGGGTGAACTATCCCTTTAAGTCCTACCTAATATACATTTAAACTATAATAAATATTCATTAAATTGCAGTTAACATACAGTTAAATGTATGAAAACATTAAATTCATTATGCACTTTTTTATTTTATTTTTTTAAGTTGATCATTTCTATATAAGTACTTTAAAAAAATGAGAAATGTGTTCTTTTGAACAATAAACAGTGGTCTGTATGGATGTTGCGTGTTGCTGTGCAGCTACTAGAATATTATTTTTAGAAACAATACAACATATTGAAACAATATTGTTCTTTTAGTGCATTGCTATATGGTTGTTAGGGTGTTCAGAGTGGTTGCTGAGTTGTTATAGGGTGTTGTGGGTGAGTGAAGTTCAAAACAGCCAATTCTCTTAATGTAAGTGTATTGTATTTTTTCTGCATGTTTTATCAGTCACTATGTTTGCAGCACAAACTAGAGTTTATACTTTATGGGTTTAGAACAAACTAACAAACAACAACAAAAACTTTAGTATGAACAATAATAATACATTTGCAGTCAATTTACAGGGAAGCTGAAAAGCAGATAGTGTTAGAGATGTGTTAGGTTTGTTTTCAGATGCTGTTGTGGGAGTCTGATGGAGAACAGAGGACAAATTTGGCTCTGTTATGTAGAGGGTTCCTGTTTGGACTAGATCTTCCCATGCTTGTTTATAGTTTGTATGGTGAAGTGCTCTTTTACCTCTCTCTCTCTCTCTCTCTCTCTCTGACTTTTGCTGCATTTAAAGCTACTGCTATGGTAAATCAAACAGGAAAATCCACATTAGCTTTTTTCCCATTTGTATTGTTTGTCTGAATTTCACTGCCAACAACAAAATGAGCAAAGAGAGGAATCGAGTTACCCCGCCCAGATTTGAGTTGCAATACAATGTAAGACTTTTCTGAGTGCAAAAATCTTACCTGTTTCATTTATGTATGCATCACACATTTATAGTTTGCTTATTTTAAAACTGTGCAATCCAAATGCATATACATTTTAAATGCAATTCATATACATAAATGTAAAATTAGGCCTAAATATGGTTTGAGTTGGAATTACACTAAATTATAACCAAAACAAACAATCTTATAAAAAGGGATATTTTGATAGCTGACAGTCTGTTTGATTGTGGATAGACTAATGTATTGATGTTGTGCGCTTCAGAGTTGCCACACGAAGCTAAGGGACCTGTTCACTGAGAAACTCCATGTCATTGGATTGGCCGCCCTAGTGATTGCTGTCATTATGGTGAGAATGAACACACACATGCACAGACATGCACAAATTACAGACTTGTGCTAGGAATAACTAAAGACAGCTGGGTGTGCAATTTCTCTCTGCTGTGTGTCTAGGTTTTTGAGATGATCTTTACCATGGTCCTCTGCTGTGCAATCCGCAATGCTCCTGCATATTGAGTTGCTGGATGATGACCAGCCTGATCAACAATGTTTGATTTTGCTAGTGATGGGCAGGAGGCCATTTCACTTTTGCCTTTCCTCTCTTTTCAAGTTCAAGTGTCCACACACTGAACATTGATCCCTGTGTTTGTAGAGAGGACTTCCTATGTGAATACATCAGAATACAACACCAAGGGCTATTATAAATAAACCAGTAACCAATATCAGGGAGGAGGAAGAATGTGATTGACAGTAATATGGATAACTTTGCCTTTATGTTGTATTGTTTTACTTTTATTTAATCATTTTATTAAATTTGCTCTTATGGTCTATTGTTCAACTTTTAGTAATAAAAGTGCTTCAACACACTCTTTAAGCGTGTGTGTGTGCTTGTTTGTGAAGTAAATCATTGTTATGTTTATAGAGAGATAAACGTAACCTATGAATCCATTATGCAACAAGTCAGTTTGTGTCTTCTGAGAATGCATATCGTACATTAGACTTTACCTGCCCATAATGATGATGTCATGATAATCCAGTGATTACCCACATGAAACAAATCAAACTTTACCCAATGAGCCTGTGGTATTTTAATTTTGTGGCCATTCAGTTTATTTCTAATAAACCCAAATTATTGCGTTATGAATGTTGTGTTAGTAATGTATTGAATCTTACCTTATTTGAAGCATATTTGCATAAAGTTTAGGACACAAATGATTGTACTTTTATTCTGTAGAAACAGAATGTTACTAAGATATAATATTGTGCACTGTCGCTTTAAGAGTAGACAGATAGGAGATAAAACGATGCCATCTTGCACAGAATATATTGTGCACTGTCGCTTTAAGAGCAGCAGAGTAAATATTGCGTTTGCATGATTCAAAAGGCGAGGCTCCGCCCACTCTGTGTTAGATCAGTTTCGTTTGTTCGATCGTGAGGCGTCTGCTGTAAGTGTAAATAACGCTTTAAAGATGGGCGCATCTAATGGCAAACCTCTGAAATGTCCTCTGTGCTATGAGGAGTGTCGGGAGCAGGTGACGCTGGCCTGCTCTCACAGCTTCTGTCGGGTTTGTATCAGAGAGTTGTGGAGCGGATCTCAGACCGGACCATATTACTGCCCCGAGTGTAGATACGAGTACCAGCATCTGCCGGACTATACTGACGGAGCGTCAACATCTGCAGCCACACCAAACACACGTAACGTTACGTTCATTAACACAAAATAAATGTTGGCTTTGTTGACCTTGAACGTGTATGTTATTATTATATTGCACATGTGCAAGTTGCTCGTGAGCAGTCTATGCTCGTTACGTAGTAGGCCACAACTACTCCTGTGTATTGATCTGTTGTAGTTGATAAGTTGTCTGTCTGCTATCAGGTTCCAAGCATCAAGCTTTAAATAGTCAATAGGATGATGCATGTATGGGTCTTATAAAATCAGAGAAAAACAAAAACTTTTCTCAGTCACATTACTAGTTTATTTAATTTGTCTCCAAAATACTGTACGTGTTGGGAGAATTATGGTATTTGTGTCTTTTTTATTCTTTCAGGCATGACTATTTACACCACAATGATAATACAATATCTGCCTCCTAATTTCATAGCTAGATTTTTAAAAATACATTATTGAATGTATTTTAAAACACATTATTGAATTATATATATATATATATATATATACACACACACAATATAAATAAATAAATAAATATATATATATATATATCAAAATAAAATATTTGCAAAATTGTACAATTGCAAAATTATTTGAAATATTTAGTGATATTTACCTTGAACATACATTACAGTAGATCATTCAAACTCAAGCTCTTCACAGAAAGTTACTTTGATAAACAAGTTCTGAAAAAAAAATATTATTTGGGGTAAAATAGTATGTTGTGATGGAAATGATGCCACAACTGAGAGATTGCATTTTTGAAAAATGTTTTAAGCAAAATCATTGTCAAAATGTTTTTAAAAATTGTACATTTAATTTTCATAGTATTAAGAAGAAAGGGTCTAGGATGGGGTAAAACAACCCTGAATATAAATAAAGAAATATATAAAATAAGTAAAATCCATTAAAAAAAATTAAATTATGAAATTATTGCAATTGTAAATCACAAACAATAAAAGCGTGGAAAAATGTTTCCAAGACAGTTTTAATCTGTTATTCATAATATCAATAATAAAAAGTTGAAATCTGTCGACCCCTAAAAAAAACTAAAATTGCCCAAAGCTGGGCTTTATTTTACAGTGTCCCTGTTACATGTACTTATTTTAGTAATAACAGTACAATATGCATTAGGACATGTAACTAGCCCTAAACCAATCTCTAACCCTATAGTATGTAAGTAGTACGTGTTGATAATTTATATTACTCAGTAATTACATGAAACTGTTTTAAAAGTTGTAAGTTGTGAAGATTATAGAACTTGATCTAGAACGTTTATACAGTGCATACCTTTCCCTCACAGCCTCGTTTTAATTAATTTTAAATTAAATATGAAATATAACCTGACTAAGGTCTATTACACTGTAACAAAGACAAAGACACATAAAATAAATAACCAAGAAACACTTATATACATTAATGTAATACTATGTTTTCAAGTAGATTGGCCATTTGGAAAGAAGCTACACGGCCGGCACTCGAAGAAATGGCACGGGAAGAGGAAGTTCAGTTCAGCATTCCACGCTGGTGGACACAGACTGGGCTCAGCCCCATCTAATAACCCCGTCAGTGACTATGATGTAATCAAAATCATTGACTCTGATGAAGACACATCAATACCACGGAAAAGAAAGGCCGCAGCAGACGAATGCTCTTTTGGAAGCCAGTCTCCATCAATGGTTTGGGGGACCACCTCTACGAATGACACATCCTCACAACGCACACCTCCAGATACAGAGATCACGTCTCCTCATGTAGAATCATCTCCCGAGAGGAATACAAGTTCCCCTCAGCAAGACCAGCATCCTGTGGCTTCCTGCAGTGACACCGGCTCACCCAGGACGAGCAACACACCTCAGGGAGAGAAAACCCCCTCACCAGCAGTCAATGCCACTTCTCATACACCTGGAAGGCAGGAAACAGATTTTAACAGTGGAGAGCCCCTCTGTATCTCAGCAGCAGCATCATCCTCAGACAGACTATGTAGGAGCAGTTCTGTGCCTTGCCATTACTGTCCCAGTTCAGAACAGAAGGTGGCGGTAAAGACCTGCCTGGTTTGTGGGGCCTCCATGTGCTCCGAGCACCTGCGGGCACACCTGGAAAAGCCGGTTTTCCAGAACCACCCGCTGGTGAACGCTGTGGAGGATGTGTCTCTGTGGAGATGCCAGGAGCACCAGGAGATGAACCGGATCTACTGTCGATCATGTGCAGTGTGTGTTTGCACTGTGTGTTCCCTGGTCGGCCTGCACAAGGGGCACGAGTGCATCAGCATCCGCGAGGCAGAGCAGGAGCTCAGGGTGAGATACTATTGGGCATTTTTAAACACCATTTCCTCTTTTTTTTTTTTTCCAAAGATAAAGTCTTGATTTTATTTTGGGGGTGTACTAGAACAGGCTCTCATACTAAGTTGTTCGAAAAACACATTATTTTTCACATATTTTACATTACAACACCTCTCTCCCCAGTCTGGCATGAACGGCTCGAATAGTTCCTGTATCAAATGAAGGCCCGTCTTCTGAAATACGAAATGTGCTGTGATTGGTTAGCTGGGCCAGTGTGTGTTGTGATTGGCAGCACTCGGCGCCTGGTCGGGAAATGTCATGCCCCTTACCATAGCCGCCTGTGAGCTTCAGTGTAAATATTGCTCAAAATCAAATCAATTTGAGTGTGATTTAAACCCGGATGATTGTAACCACTCTAAGTTCGTCTGTCTTGGGAAAGCTAGCGTGTCTCCGACATAGTGATAACACTCGTTGCCTTCTCTAGTGCAGCTCAACCAGGTCTCGTCCCATTCGTCGATATTTGTGATATCACAAATTCCAGAAAAGATGCATTGTAGTCCAAACGAGTCGTTCGTTGTAGTTTTTGAAAAGTGATTTCTGTTAAATAAAATATCTCTTTTTGAAGTGGACTTTGAGTTTTGTAACTTTGCAGATCTTTTTTATGCTCAAACAGCAACATTACAGACTAACTAAAGTTGAAAAAGTGAAAAAGCATAATAGGACCCCTTTAAGATTCCGGTTAAACCTGTAGTTTTTAGTAGTATACTATTGTTCAAATGTTGGTAACATTTATTTAATGTTTTTGAAGTCATTTTGATCATAAATTCTTTCTATTTTAAAATATAATTCACATGAAGAACAACATTCATTTGAAATCTAATCCTTTTGTAGCATAATAATTATTATAAATGCATTATAAATGCCTTTACTCTTACTTTTGAGTAATGTGTACTTGCTAAATGGGAGTATTAATTTCTTTATTTCAAAAAATGTGTTGCTCATTGGTTTATCTGCATTAATTTCTCAGGGTTCACTGAAGGATGAGATGCAAAAAATTCAAAAAACTGAAAAGTCCATTCAGGAGAAACTCTCTGAGCTCAGTGAGAAAAAACGTGGTGTCCAGGTAAGTGTGAGAATGTTTGTCGATTTAGTTGTTGCAGTTTAGCGATGTTTTTATTGTTACAGTTATTTATTTTATTTTTCACCCAAAAATGAAAATTCTGTCATTAATTACTCACCCTCATGTCATTCCAAACCTGTAAGACCTTCATTCATCTTCGGAACACAAATTAAGATATTTTTTTATGAAATCCGAGAGCTTTTGAACAACTTAAAGAACTACCCCTTTAAGTTGTTCATGGGTCTATGGTCTCTTTGTCAAATGTTGTTATTAACTAAAACTATTTAAAATCATTTTTATTAATTGAAATAAAATAAAATATCAGTATTAGATAAAAACATAAACTTAAAGCGCTTAAAGGGGTCATAGGATGCCCATTTTCCACAAGTTGATATGATTCTTTAGGGTCTTAATGAAAAGTCTGTAACATAGTTTGGTTAAAATTTCTCAATGGTAGTGTAAAAAACACTTTTTTTACCCTGTCAAAAACAGCTATTTTCAGATCAAGCCATTTTTGTAGCATTTTCCTTTAAATGTTAATGAGCTCTGCTGACCCCGCCCCTCTCTTCCCAGCCGCTCTCTGAGGGACTGTTTACTTTAGCTGCATTCATCGTGAAACTTGCTAATTAGCACATTATTAGGAAAGGCGATTTACAAAGATTCATTACAAAACATACTCACTTCTTCTGTAGATGATTTGCGCGAACATAAACGCGTTTATGTAGATCGGGGGAGCATTACCTTCAGAAACAAATGTAATCCACTGCAAGTTCAGCGGCTCAGATGTCAGGAGTAAATGAGGACTGCTATGTTCATTATTACATCCAACAACAGAACACCTCAATCGCTTAGGAGTCATTCTTGTCTACATCTGCTCCGGCGGTGATACAATGGCGGACTGATGACGGCTCACTCAGGGGGGGTATAAGGTAAGACACCAGTCCAGTCTGTGCTGAAACGCTACTGTCAATCAAACTATCGTGGGAGGGGCCTGTTTTTGTGACGTCACACAAACAGGCATCTG